GGGAGGCTGAGGCAGGAGGATCACTTGAGCCCAGGTGTTTGAGGTTGCTGTGAGCTAGGCTGACGCCACGGCACTCACTCTAGCCCGGACAACAAAAGCGAGACTCTGTCTCAAAAAAAAAAAAAAAATATTAATTTAACATTCACACTGGAATGCCATTAACTCTACAGTGAAATGTTTGTAGATTGACCTTACTAAGAGAGAAAGTGGGGGTATGAGGAAGCAGTGTACAACCTCTTACATGATGTTCTCTGTGAAATCAGGACTCTTGGTTCTTCAGAGTTCTTGGTTCGCCAGCTCAGTTATTTTCCAGCCACTCTTGCTTCAGTTGATCTCAGCTGGACTCAAAGGGACACATTCACACCTGCTGAATGCTTAGGCATTGCTCGCATCAGCTCTAATCTAGGTAGTCATCCTGGCTTCTTATCCACTGTTAGAAGGGCCCGCACTCTTTCCTACACATAGTTCATCTGGTGACACACTTCAGAAATGGCACATACCTCTTGCAAGACAGATCAAGACCATGTTTGCTGGCTCAGTATTGCTCGATTTTTTTCTGCTACTTCTAGCAGCAAAGGAGCATGAAACCAAGACTCCCAGAGCATCTGAGAATATGGGCCAAAGCAACTATCCAGAAGCAAAATTACTTTTAATTCTCCATGTTTTATTTACAGACTTAAATAGATTTTATATTCTGTTCAATAGCATTTTTATGTTTGTATTAATATGAACATTTTTGGTCATTATTTACCAGCATGATTACTGATCTCCTAGAAAGGAAGACATACCATGCTTTTTCTACAGTTTCTGTGACCCTGGCATACCACTGCTTCTCTCCCCCAGAGTGGGGAACAGGAATTGCTCATTCACCATACTACTGAGAATTGAAATGAGGAGTTAATATTGGTGGGGAGTCTTTCATTCTATAATTTTGCTCTCAGAGAGCCTCCGTTTTAATGAGGAGACAGCCAAGAAATAGGCCATAAGGCTGTTGATCAGTGCAATAGTAGAGGCACACACAGCTTATCCTGGGTGGTCAGGGGGGTTCCTAGAGGTAACCCTTCAAAGATGAGCCTTAGAGGATGAGGAATTAGTAGGAAAAGAAGCCAAAAAAGAGCATACCCAGAAGTTGGAGTAACAACTGCAAAGGTAGAGGCAGGAGAAAATGTTGAGGAACTGTAAATGGGTAGGTGATGGGTTCAGGTTTTGGCCAACATACCCTGGACTTCGCTCCTGGCAGCTAAGTGCTGGGAGGACTTAGGCACTGACTGGCACAAAGGCTTGGGCTTGCTCTCTGGTGTCATGGGCTGGGGCTGACCGGTTGGCCCCTTGTGCACGTAACAGACTTGGGCTCTGGCTTGTGGAGTTGGGGCTTGGTGGTTCATGACACTAGCTAAATTGACTAGGGCCATTTGTGGAGCAGGGAGGACTTTTCTATGGCTTGAACACAGGTCATGAATGGCAGATGGTCTCATGATATAGCTAGGCCAAGTCATAAAGGGCTTTGTCTACTCAACTGCAAATGTGGACTGTTTTAGCCTGAGGAGCTACCGAAGAATTTTAAGCAGGTGCATAACAAGACTTGATTTGCATTTTTGAAAGCTTGCTGTAGCTGCAAAGTAGGAAATAGGTTGACAGAATCAAGGAAACCAATTGGGAAGCTATTGCATACTCTAGCAATAAATGATGAAGGCCCTCACTGGGGCAGGGATGAAGAGAGATGGGGACATTTAAAGGGGTGTTTAGGAGGTGGAACAGACAGGACATGGTAAGTAGCCAGGACATGGTAAGTAGCCATGGCAGGTGAGGGAGAGGAAAGAGTTATAGATGATTCTCTGATATCTCACTTGAATAAAAGAGTAAATGCCAATATTATACACTAAACCAAACTCAAAACAAAGAGGAAAAGAAGTGATTCAGGCATTTAATTTTTATTTCTCTGTTTCCAGTGTACCAGAGGAGAATTCAGGACAACCAGAAGGTAAGGCTGAATCACATTCTCTGTTACTCTTCATTTATATATTCAAGTTGACTGTATCTTCAGTGTATCAGCTGCACCTGACACACTCGATAGCAACTTCATCCATCTTGTTTGCCAAAGAAAATTCTTGGCATTTCTATCAGCCTGTTTCTCCTACGGTTCATCATATTAACCTATGACACTGGCCCCACTAACTTTCAGCATTGAGAAGGCCAGCAACCAAAGAATTTGGTCCTTAACTTTTAGTCGATTTTTTTTCCTAGGTTTCCCTTCACCACCATCCTACCTTCCCTGCTCCCTCCTTACCCCTCAGTAGTCACTGTTAACAGTTTGGTCTATATCCTTCCACAGCAAGTTAGTTTTTAGAATACCCAGTGGCTCAGCCACTCATTTGAGAAACGTGCACCTTTCAGGGTTTCTCATGTGAAGCCACAGGGTTGTGTGACGAATTCTGTAACACTCTTCCCAGGTCTATGCCTGGGGAAGAAGGGTTGAAGTGCTTAGTGGGGTCTCCTACAGCAAACAAAAGGAACCAAGGAGAGAGAAAGGGGCCCTCATGCGGGGAGGTAGCTAAGCTCCCAGCAAAAAACCGGGTCCCTTTGGTAGAGTTGCAAGGGATAAGAAAATAATAGAGAAAAATGGAAAATGGAAGAAATAAAAGAATACACAGAGACAAAGATACAGTTTTATAAGTTTATAAAGATTATAGGCAAAGCGGGATCTCAGGGGGCTTAGACCTTCTCCATGGGTCTCAAAAGCCCCGAATGAGGTCTTACATGGTAACTTATAGGGAATAGTGAATAATTGCCAGGGGTAACAGATTTACATAACAGCAGGTAGTTCCTCTCAGGTTAACAGATTTTCAAAAGGTTTCTACAGAAGGCTTCTACAGATTCTTTAACTAATTCCATCTACGTGGGCAAACGGTTACAAACTCTTTCAAAGGTTAACTTCTAAATTCTAAGGTAAGTTTATCATTTAACAGAGGGGTTAAACAGAGATATGTTGGCTCCATGTTTATTAGGTTATCGTGAATGGAGACAGGTAGTCTAGAGTGGTTTAAACAAGAGCTTTGCTTTTAACCATTCGGGCAGCTGTCTGTTCTGGGGGGCACTCCATTGTCAGCTCTCAGCCTGTAGTTTTTAACACTTGTGCTTTACAAAGCAAATCCAAACCTTTAGGTCTGAGAAACGCGGCACCTCGTGGGATACAGCCACTACCGTCTTTCAGAGACGCCCTTCCGAGTGTAACAGCATTTAAAATGCAAACCAACACGTTCACATATTCTTTCAGGGCAAAGCTCTGCAAAGCTCCTAAGACAAATCCTGTCCCCAAACACGTTTAATACTAATTCATGGAGCAACACCCTCAGATAGCAGGCAAGTATCTGCCTGCATCTCACGCCAGCTCACTGACCTGGGCCACTCTGAACTGCCAGCCAGTGACTGACACATGAATGGCAATTCTCTTCTCAGCACCAGATGGCTCCCAGAGTGAAAGCCCTCCTTACTCATTTGTGGTGAAAGTCCCCAAAGCGGATGAAGTGGAATGGATTTTGGATCTGAAAGAGGAGGAAAATGAACTAGTGCGGAGTGAATTTTACTATGAGCAGGTAATAGCAATAAAATGCAATGGTCATTTAAGTTTCTTATGATGTGTAGTAGGATGGCAGAAAATATGAAGGTAGGTGAACACAGCCCGGCCTTCACTTATTTACAGTGTTATAACATGGGAGCTAAGACAACTAAATCTATTAAGGCAGAAAATGAGGAGCAACTTGGGGAGTGCACAAGAGGAGATCAGGAGAGGCTTCTTGGAAGAGGTAGCATTTAAGATAAGCCTTGGAAGAGTAGTAGGAGGGTGACAAGCAGGAATTTGGGGGCTGTGAGGGGAGTAAGGATACAGGAAAGACAAAGAGTACAAAACTAAAACATCTGAGCAAAGATGCATTGTCAAAAATTGCAGGACTTTATTGGAGAATTGGAAGTTGTTTAATTTGGAAGGAACATAGAGTCAATAGCGTTAATAGAGAAGTAGTAAAAGGCAGGTTTGAAAAGAATTATTTATGTATAAGGCCTTGAATTCTGCAGTAAGGAATGTCTATTTGGTAGGTGTCAGGGAGCTGTGAAAAGTTTCCAAGTATGCCTTAGGAATATTAATTTAGCAGCAGTATGTCCATGGCTTGAAGCAGAAGCTCCTCCAGGTAGTCAGACAAGCGAGGTGACCATTATAGTCCAAGCTAGCAATAAGGAGGACTTGCACTAGTGGAACAGTAGACCACAAAAAGGAAGGGACCTGTGGACGTTTCAAGAAGTAGGTCACATGTGGACACAGCACCTTCTTCCAGTAAGATGACTAAACCTGGCAGCCAGGCCTTTAGCGGTGCTGCTTAGGACATCTGAAAGTGGTTTAGTTCCACTTCTGCTTTGCTTTAGAATTTGATACCTTCCTCCAGTGTTTTTTAACCTTTTGAAAGGGGAAGAATTGTTTCTGCCATCCAGCTGCATTTGAAGAATGCTCTGGTCCCTGGACTTAGAATGCATCTCTCCCTTCTTTCACCCCTCCAGGCCCCCAGCGCCTCCTTGTGCATTGCCATCCTGAATCTGCACCGGGACAGCACTGCCTGTGGTCACCAGCTGATTGAGCACTGCTGCAAGCTGTCCAAGGGCCTTGCCAACCCAGAGGTGGACGCAGGGTTGCTCACAGACATTATGAAGCAGCTGCTCTTCAGTGCCAAGATGATGTTCGTCAAGGCTGGCCGGAGCCAGGACTTGGCTCTTTGTGACAGGTATATGGAAATGGATCTGTATTCTTTTCTGTAGTGGCAGTTTCTCTCCAGCCTCTTTTTCTAACCCCAGTATGATTTCTTATCTCACCATCTTCTCTGACAAGACATGCTAAAATACTTTGCATCTCAGTTTGATGTTGATGAAGTACTGTTACCACATCCCAAGTATTCTTCCTCACCTACCTGGACAGCCTATGTCCTTTTCTTTTTCAGAGTGGATCCTCAGAGCAGAGTTTTCTCTAGCTTTGCTCAGTCAGAAAGTAAAGACTTTGACTGGTTAATTTGTAATTAAAATTAATTTAGGGAAGCACCTTTAGACTGTGTAGAACTTTCTGGCTTTTAAAGAAAATGTATCCTCCCTAAATGACCAGTGATTAGCCTTGAATAAAACTCTACCCCAATCTTGACCAAATTCAGACTGTGACCTCAGCAAGTTCTGGATAATAGATCTATAAAGACAATCTGGGGATTGTTCTGTTCCTGTGTCAAGGTAGGAACGGTCATAAAGTAGAAGTGTCTATGGAAAAAGTGTGATTAGACTTCCCTCTGGTTCCTGCACAACCTGCTTTGACTCCATTTATTAACTTGACAATGAAAACTCCCAGCTCCCTGCTTATCCACCCAGATGCATGACTCATGATGAGTGTTCCCAGCACTCAGTCCTAACCAGATTTGGGAGCAGGGAGAATAATTTTCTTTGGAGTGTAAATGCCTCCTTCAGACACTTTCTCCGAGTACTTACATACAAACTCACCGGCCAAAATGGAGCACAATGAATCCCAGCTTCACTACTTGCTAGTAACCTTGGACAAGGCTGCTAGCTCTTCTGGGCCTCAGTTTCCCCTCTATGAAATGGGGGTGATAGTACTTATAGGTCTGTTATGAGGATATAATGAGATCACCCATGTGAAGGGTGAAGAATTAAGCCGGTACATATTGTGTACTCCAGAAATGTTAGTAATTTTTATTATTTTTCTTAACAAAAGCTAGAAGGTTGAAAAGAGCAGGAGGTGAGAAAGAAAGTAGAAGGAAGTAAAAAGGAGCTAATTTTACTCTTTTATATCAAGAGGCAAATAGCTTCTACATCATTTTTCAAGTGGATAAATGAAAAAATAGATGTATGTAAAGTGAAGTTTTCTAAATAACCATGAAAAGAACCAAAAATCTACAAAATTCACAGGAAAGGATAGGATGCGAAAAGCAGAAACCTCTCCATGTAGCAAAAAGTAGAAAACAAACATGAAAAAAGATTTAAGGCAAAAATATTAAAAATCCAAATATATATCAAATATCAGAAATGTAAATAAGAAAAGAAAAAGATACTCAGATTGAAGGGAAAACAAATTTAACATCAACAAATTTAACATCAAACAAATTTAACATCCTGTACTTCCTAGGAAATCTAATGTAGATGGAGGAAATATCCACTTTAGCCTGAGAATAGCAGAAACTAAGGAAGTTCTCACTTCAGTAGGGTTCTCACCCACCCCAAGGTACCATCGGCTTCTTTGACAGTTTACAGCAGTAGTTTCAAATGACACATTCTTTCTCCCCCACTCTGCATTCTGATATACCCACTGCAGGGAATGGTCCCCTTTGCTGATGAGAATACATTGATCTCTCACATGTGTTGCTGTGCAAATCAGTTTAAAGCTCCTGTTTTGTAGATGATTTTTATCCTGTTTTTAGGTCAGACCCCCTTCTGATAGACAAACAAATAAATACAAATTTAAAAACAAAACTCAAACTACCTATTTCAAATGCTTTCATTTTCTAAATGTATAAATATATTATCGTACCGATGCTTTTATACACTATACTTTCCCCTACCCCATCCCTACTAGGTTATGAGTCACTGATGTACAGAATCCCTTTCCAGGGAAACTGCTGAACAAGTCAGGATCCACAGGTTTTTTGCTGGAATGATGACACAAGATTCAGGAACCTCGAGTGTAGGCTTGTTTCAGGCAGCCCTAGATAGAATGATCCAGCCCTCTGGCCTCTCTGTCTTTATAAGGTTTTTACAAGCATCTGGTATCAGGGGTAAGAAGGCAATCCTAGTAAGCTACACTGAGGGCCCATCCTTAGCCCAGGGAAAAGACGTCAAGTCTAGAATCTGAGTGAAGGGGCAGGATGCCCCTGCCCAGCAGGGCCTCCGGGGAATGGTAGTGATGTGCTTTCTGAACTAACCGGGAGTGCTAACTAACTAACTAACCAACCGGGATACTGAATCTATGCTGCCTTCATAAGGGAGAGTTCAAAAGGACCAAAAAGCAAATGGGTAACTTGTAAGGTCCCAACATTCATGTAAAGGCCTTGCCTCAAATAGAAGCCCTGAGTGTCCCTACTGCAAACATTAATATCTAACATTTCATAGCTGCCAAAAAGTTCCATGCACTATCCTAAGCCCTTTTACTTGGGTTATTTCATTTTATCCCTAAAACTCCATTACTACAGTCACATGTCACTTAATGACAGGGATACGTTCAGAGAAATGCATCATTAGTCGATTTTGTTGTTGTGTGAACATCACAGAGTGTACTTACGCAAATCTAGACGGTATGGCCTATTACTCCTAGGCTACAAACTGGTATAGCACGTTACTGTACTGAGTACTATAGGCAATTGTAACACAAGTATTTGTGTATCTAAACATATCTATTAATCTGTTATGGAATTAGTAAAAAAAGAAAGAATTTAAAAAAAAATAAACCTATCTAAACATAGAAAAGGTACAGTAAAAATATGGTATTATAATCTGGGACCACTGTTGTATATGCTGTCAGTTGTTAACAGAAATGTCATTATGTAGTACATGACTATCCACTTTACAGATGAGTAAATTAAGGCAGAGAGATGTTAACTGACTTGCCCCAGATCATAGAGCTACTAGGTGATGGAGCTGAGATTCAAAGAGTGTGACTCCAGAGCCTCACTCGCAGTGTCTGTGCTGTGCACCTCTCAACTCTCATTATCACGTTTCACGTTGAAAATGGAATAGAAAACTGTTAAGCAAAGACTATTCTTCGTAAGACCTGGGAAGCCTCACTGCCTTGCCCCTTTCCCCCCTGTAGCTACATCAGCAAGGTAGATGTACTGAATATTTTAGTTGCTGCCGCCTATCGCCACGTGCCATCTCTGGATCAGCTCTTGCAGCCGGCTGCAGTAACCAGGCTAAGGAACCAGCTTTTGGAAGCTGAGTACTACCAACTGGGCGTTGAGGTGAGGCAAAAACAAAGCATACTTCCACCCCACTATAATGACTTAGCTTTGCTTCATCTTGCAAACAGGTATTGCCAACTCTTAGTTGTCCTGACCATGGGAAGCAGGTAGGGCATGACCAGTTTGCCAAGGTGTGGGGAGTGGTGAGGTGGTTGGTAGCTTGGGGATAGAATAGGTCTTTGGGACTTTCAAGCCTGGGTGTAGCTACCTCTCACTAAAAGGAGCAATTTTTCCTCCAGGTCTCCACAAAGACTGGGCTTGATGCCACTGGGGCGTGGCATGCCTGGGGCATGGCCTGCCTCAAAGCTGGGAACCTCGCTGCAGCTCGGGAGAAGTTCAGTCGCTGTCTGAAGCCCCCGTTTGACCTCAATCAGCTGAGTCATGGCTCAAGGCTAGTACAGGACGTGGTTGAGTACCTGGAGTTCACAGCGAGGCCCCTCATATCCTTGGTAAGAGCAAAGCAGGCAGAGTGCCCAGCTCAGGGAGGGAGGCCCAGGAACAGTAATGGCCTGAGAAAAGGATCAGGTTAAATTCAACTAAAGTCCAGGTTTATATTCTGTTTTTTTCCATTACATATAGTTAGATAAGTAACTACATATGGCTGTGTAAATAATAGAGCCAATTTTTTTTAAAAAAGGAAACTATAGAGAACTATTTTTAAAAAGATAAAAACCACATAATCCCATACCCAGACTAATTAGTGTTAAGATTTTGGAGAATTTTCTGTTATGTTTTTGAAGGAAATTGGAGGTATGCCGTATTTTAATATATAGAACTTTGAATCCTTCCTGCTTTTCTACCCTTAAAACTATATTGTGTTCATTTTTCCAGTTGATAAATATTCTTTGAAAACAATATTTTTAGTGACTGCTGAGAACTTACTGAGTTCTGTTTTTCTCTCTCTCACTCTCTCCTTTCCTGTCAGCAAGATGACGATTACTTTGCCACCTTGAGGGAACTGGAAGCTACCCTTCGTACCAAGAGCCTCTCTCTAGAGATGATTCCTGAAGGGAAGGTCATGAACAACACCTACTACCAAGAATGCCTCTTCTACCTGCACAACTATAGCACCAACCTGGCCATCATCAGCTTCTACATGCGGCACAGCTGCCTGCGGGAAGCCCTGCTGCACCTCCTCAACAAGGTGAGACACGCCAGCACAGCTCACAGGGGGCAGTGCCAGCCTTGCTCACCTAGCTTGGACCAGTTGGCTTTAAGAGGGATGATGATGGCCCCTTACAGTTAACCCAGCATTGAGCTGTGAGATCATCTCTGGCAGAGTCGGGTCAAAATGGAAGACTCTGTCTACACAACCATTATTGGATGAGTGTACAAGAAGTCTTAGCCTGGATCCCTAATCACCATCCTGACTGGCAGTGGCAAATTTCATCCCTTCTCCCAAAACATGTAGCAGAATTGGATAGCAGTTAAGAGCATGGTCTCTGGAATGAGATGCTTAGTGTGAGTCTTGTGTGACCTTGGACATATTGCTTAGCTCTCTTGGTTCCCGCACACCTGCCCACCTCGCCTGGGATGGTGTCCAGCTTCTGGCCCAGCTGCTGGTCCACTCAGAGTTGTTACCACAAGGGCTGGGAAGCACCCATGGCACCGATCCTACATTTGGGCCCCAAATATATGTTGAAAGGAGAATGTGCTCTACTTTTTTCTTCTCATATCCTCTGCCCCCTCCCACCAGAGGCATTATTTCTTTGGAGCCACTGATAAGCAATCAACATTCCGCTTCACCATGACCCTTTGACATTCCTTTTTGATTTTCATTTTTTAAAATTCTATTTATTTGTGTATTTGTATGTTTATTTATTTATTAATGAATGAATGAGATGGGACCTAGGCTGGCCTTGAACTCCTGGACTCAAGTAATCCTCCCGCCTCAGCCTATCTATTAATAGCAGGTGGGACTACAGGCATGCGTCACCGCACCCAGCTGTGTTCCTTTTTTTTATCTGAATGTTCCGTAATAACTTTCTGAATGGTCTGATATGTACCAAATTTCATAGAAAGTTAAAGGAGCTCAAGGCAAACTTTAATTTCATTCTGTCACCCTAAATCACAACGGCAGCCAATGAAGTTTACAGATAGACCTATTTTCTAGAATTGCTCCAGGTGAAATCAGCAGTTTGCAGAATCGTGGTGACCATACCTCTACAGAACAGTGAGGGAGTTATTTTTACCACTGCTTAGCTACTGACTATTTTAGCTACTAACCAGGTCTCAAGAATACTGTGGAAGTCATCTTATTTGAAGTTTAATACTAACTTTTTTCCTCTTCCTCAGTTTCCAAATGAGTTTAGAGGTAGAGACTGGACATACCCCAGGTCTGTTCTCTCTGACAACTGTAATCCAGAGAGTTAAGCTGCTTACTTAATTAGCTTGGCATAAGCTGGTGACCTCATTGCTTTGGCTTTATATTCGTCACAACCAGGAAAGAAGTCTTCTTTTTATCTCCTGCAATCAGTTATCCTTGAACTGAAATACCTTGCCTTTATTCTCATGCACGTAGGGACAGCAGAAAAAAAATTGTGAAAATTACACCTAAAGGCCTAGAGCATAGAAGGTGATCTGTTTCTAGCACATTCCCTTTGCCGCTTTGCCCACACTGCCCCCAGAGTGAGCTTTCTAAAACATAAATACACTGAGTTTATTCCCCTTCTTAAAAGGCTGTCAGTGGACCCCAAAGCCACAGGACGGAGTCCAAATTCCTTAGCAGACTACAAGACCCACCAGGATCATGCCTCTTGTTTCTCCAATTTATTTTCTATCTGTACCCTACATTCCAGACTCATCAAATTACTTCAATTTTCCTGATTGTACCATGCACCATCATATCTCCACGAGTCTTTATATGCTGTTCCCTCCACCTAGAATGCCCTGACCCTCCTTGTTTTCTTGGGAAACTCCTGTTTATTCTTTCAGTGTCCTTTCAGACCTCTCTGTTCAGCATTGACAGAATATACAAGCAGCATTAACCACCTCTTCCTCTGCACCACCACTGTGCTTGTTATTACATTTATCCCAGTGGCCTGCAACTATTTGTTTATAATTGAGTCTTCACACCTGGACCAAGAAGACCTATATTTTACTTATGTGTATTCAGGCACCCGGCCTAATACCAGTTATTAATCAATGAGTGGATAGATGAATGGATGAAATGGAAGTTCTTAAGGTACTTTTCTTCCGAGGAATTCCATCCTTTCTACAGAGCTAATGGCCCTGCTTCTTAAAGTCTGACCTGCAACTTTTAGATTGGGTCTGATTTTCCCAGTTAGGAATAGGCTGAATCAGAAAAGGAGTCCTAACCTTCACCCACTGTGGATGTTCTCAAAGCCCAGATCCTCTCTGCTTCTAAACAGCTCATGACAAGTGCCACCGTGCCAGCGTGTTGTACCACCATGAGTTTATAGCCATCCTTTACTGTCCATTGGTTACTCCTAACCTAAAGTCAAATGCCAAAATGACTTCTCTTTCTTTTCTTTTGCTATGGAATGGGGGTTTATGAGTCAGGATCTCTGAACCACAGGTGAGCTTCAAAAGCAGGGAGGTTACTATGTATGTACCCTTTCCTGAGGAGTCAGTCCATAATGTTTATTGTTTCCTCATTCATCTAAGAAATATTTACTAAGTGGCCAAGGCCTATTCTGGGCACTAGGGATACAACAGTAAAAAAAAAAAAAAGACAGACAAATCTGCCCTTATAAAATTTACATTATAGGAGGGAGAGAGACAATAAACATGGGACATAAAATATATAGTGTGGGTGATGAATAAGAAGAAAGAAAAAGCAGGGGAAGAGGGAGGGTTGCTTGTGTAATCTTAGACTGTGTGTCTCAGGTGACATCTGAGTAAGGAGCTAAAGGACATGAGGAGTGAGTCATGCGGATCTATGGGGGAAGCATAATCCAGGCAGAGGGACTAACAAGGGCAGGGGCCAGGGTGGCTAGAGCAGAGTCAGCTGGGACAGGGTAGCAGTAGGTAAGATCAGAAAGGTAACAGACCCAATCATGTGGACATTGTGAGGAATGAGAAAGGAAACCACTAGAAGATTGTAGGCTGAGGAGTAACATGATCCAGGTGATGTTTTAACAGAATCACTCAGTTTGATGTGTTGGCGCTGGACAGAAGAGAGGCAGTTTGGTATGCTGGTAGACTGGGGTGGAGGGGAGGCTATTGCAGTAATCCAGGCAAATGGCTTGGGCCAGCGTGGACCAGTGGAGGTGGTGAGAAGTGGTCAGAGTCTGTGTCTATTGTGATGGTCAAGCCAATAGAATTTGCTGGTGAATTTGATGTAGGAGTGTGAGGGAAAGGATAACTCTAAGGTTTGGGGCCTAAATAATTAGAAGAATAGAATTACCATCTGAGAAAGGGAAGACTTAGGAAACAGCAGATTTCAAGAAGCAATCAAGCGTGCAGTTTTAGATGTGTTAAGTTTGTTAGATACCCAAAAAGACAAGTTAAATAGGCAATTGGATGTAAATTGGATATACAGTTCTAGAGTTCAAGGGGAATGAACTGTCTGGATATATGGATTTAGGCACCATCAACAAATAGATAGTAAGCCATGAGACTGGATAAAATCACCAGGACAGTGAGTATAGATGGAAAAGAGAACAGGTTCCTTCTGAGCCCTGGGGAGATCGGGAAGAATCGGCAAAGGAAACCGAGAAGGAGCAGGCAGAGATGTAGAAAGAAAACCTGGAAAGGATGAGAAATCCTAGAGGCCAAATAAGGAAAGTTTTTCTCAATTAAAAATAAAAATTTAAATTAAAAATCAAAAGGTGGTTTTTCAAGGAGGAAGAAGCCATCATCTATATCAAAAGCTGCTGAGGCTGGGCACAGGGTGGCTCACACCTGTAATCCTATCACTCTGGGAGGCCGAGGTAGGAGGATTGCTTGAAGCCAGGAATTCAAGACAAGCCTGAACAAGAGTGAAACCCCATCTCTACAAAAAATAGAAAAATTAGCTAGGCATGGTGATGTGCACCTGTAGTCCCAGCTACTTGGGAGGCTGGGACAGCAGAATCGCTTGAGCCCAGGAGTTTGAGGTTACAGTGAGCTATGATGACGCCACTGCACTCTCTCCCAGGCAACAGAGGGAGACTCTGTCTCAAAAAGAAAAGCTACCGCTGAGGACCAAGAATTAACTGTTAGGTTTAAGAGTTTAGTGGTCATTGATGACACAGGAGGCAGTTTCAATGGAGTTATGGCTGCAGAAGCTAGATTAGAGTGTATTCAAGAGGAAAATCACAAGAGGGAATTGGAGACAGTGAGTATAGATGACTCCATCAAGGAGCTTTTCTGTAAAAGGAAGGAGAGAAGAGATGCAGTCACTAGAGTGAGATTCTCAAAGGTATCTGTGACACACAAGGTTAAGAAGCACTACTAGGGGAGGACGCTGAAGGTACGGAAGTGGAAGGAAATTCAGACTGGATCCCAGACAGTGCCAGAACCCAGGCTCAAGACTTCTGACTTCTTACCTTGTCCTGCTCCAGGAGAGTCCTCCAGAAGTCTTCATAGAAGGCATTTTCCAGCCAAGCTATAAAAGCGGGAAGCTACACGCTTTGGAAAATTTACTAGAATCTATTGATTCAACCTTGGAGAGCTGGGGAAAGTACTTGATTGCTGCCTGCCAACATTTACAGAAGAAGAACTACTACCACATTCTGTACGAGCTGCAGCAGTTTATGAAGGTAATAGCAGCCCCTTCCTGCCCTCTACCTCTGTCGCTGATGCCCTGTCATGCAGGAGAGGCTAATTGGGAACAAGACTGCCATTTGGTCCCTGGCCTTGCTGTTTGACTAACCCTAGAGCAAATCCATGTTGCTGTCTAGCATTGTTAAAAAATGCTAGGATTTGTATCCTGAATTTAGAGGCAAACTTTAATCTTATCAGTCATGCCATTCTTTAGAATGCATTGAATGTAAAGGTAAAAAAAGAAGTATGTGGTAGTTTGAAGATAAGCATGAGGCGTGAATGCAGAATTCATAAGGAATGATAGAAAAGCAAGTGTGGTTTTAGAGAAAATGCACGAAGGGAAAAGGAACAAATTCCTCCCAATCTATCTGAAGATTGGCAATACTAAATTACAGAGAAATTGAATTATTCAATGCCAGAGTAAGAATGAAGCCAATTTGAATGGAGAGTCAGAAGCATCTTTTTTTTAGATCTCCTCAGTGGTGGAATAATGTCCTACCCAAGAACTCCACCAGTTAATGCACTTTAGGATCTCTTGGACTTTGGAATGATGGGCACAAAATAGCAGTTCAGCTGATAGTGGGCATGGGTGCCGGCAGCCAGTCTTCATGAGTGGAAGTCAGATCAGCATTCTCATCACAGCCCTCCTCCAATATCCCTGATCTCCTTTGATCTGAACATTCACTTTCCTCTTCTAGGACCAAGTCCGGGCAGCCATGACATGCATTCGGTTCTTCAGTCACAAAGCAAAGTCGTATACAGAACTGGGAGAGAAGCTGTCATGGCTGCTCAAGGCCAAGGACCATCTGAAGATCTACCTCCAAGAAAATTCTCGCAGCTCCGGAAGGAGGAAAACCACCTTCTTCCGAAAAAAGATGACTGCAGCTGATGTGTCAAGGTAGCTTAAGGCTCAGGGGACCATTGGTGCATGGCAGAAAGGCTGGAACTGAATGTCTCTTGGCGATAAAGCTGCTCTTACCCAATCCCTGAACCCTTAAAAAACTCTAAAAGGAGTCATCCTGGATGACAGTGTCTAATACCAGCTTGGCAAGCCTATGGAGGAGCTTATAAGGGAGAGGGGGAGTGGAGGGAAGATTAAGATCACAGGCCACCATCAGACTAAACTCCAAACCTCTTACAACAGGCAAAAAAGATCCTGCATGTTCTGGTCCCTGCCAAGGTCTCCATCTTTATCTCCTGGTACTCTCTTCTTCCTCACTGTCAGTCGCTGCCCTCCCAGGGTTCCTCAATACACCAAGTCCTCTCTTCCCCTCAGCTTTTATACTTACCAGTCCCTCTGCTTAGACCACAACATCTAACATAAATGCTCCACCACATTTATTGCCTTCATAGACTTAATCGTTAAATATTTTATGTTTCTGTGTGCTATCTCTCTCCTCTAGCCTATAAACTCAATGAGGGCAGAGTTCATGTCTGTCTTGGCCTCTGTTGTTGTACCTGGCACACAGGTGCTCAGAAAATGCTTGTTGATTCAATGACTGGACCTTTTATCCAATTCCACAGTGCACCTTAACTATTATGAGTCTGTGTGTGGCACTAGACCACCCACTTTTGTCTTGTCATAGCTGCTCAGAGGGTACTTGGAGGTCTCTGTATCATTTCTTTTGCCTTTGCCTTCGCCATCTTATTCTGACCTGGCCCTAGTCACCTCACTCGTGAGGCTGGACTGTATGTGTTCTGTCACCATAGGCACATGAACACACTTCAGCTGCAGATGGAAGTGACCAGGTTCTTACATCGGTGTGAAAGTGCTGGGACCTCTCAGATCACCACTTTGCCTCTGCCAACCCTGTTTGGAAATAACCACATGAAAATGGATGTTGCCTGCAAGGTATGTACAGTGTTTCAGACCCCTAGCAAACTGCTCTCATTTTTCAGAACACTTGTCACAACTGTAATTGTCTAGTTATTATTTCAGGTGTTTGATGGCTGCCTCTCCACTAGAACGTGAGCCACAGAATGTACTTGGACCAAGTACATTTTGATCATTCTTATATCCCTAGCACCTAGCACTTAGTAGGATCTCAACAAATATTTGTGAATAATTGAATAAGTGAGGGCCGTCATTCTTGATTGAAGGGCTACTCTAATAATTATTGCTTCTTTAATCACATTTCCCTCTCCTTCTCAGGTCATGCTGGGAGGGAAAAATGTAGAAGATGGTTTTGGAATCGCATTCCGTGTTCTGCAGGTATGACTTGAATTACTCCAGATTATACCAAGGACAAGCACCACCTGACTACAATCCCATGAGAGATTATTCTTTAGAAAATTTTTATCCCCAGAAAAGTAGATTTACATGTACTAGGGCTGAAATCAAGGAGGTGGCTATTGTAGAACTGGGTCAAATTCAAGACTTTAGTCCACTTTGCCAAAAGCTGAGTTACCAATGACAAATTCATAAAAAGCTTTCAGATAAATACCTGAAGCCAGGTCTAGGACAGTTCCCCACAGCTGTTTGCCTGCAGAACCACTGCTTGTCCTTACAAGGAAGTGTGGCTGGAAGGGGTAGCCAGGGCCTTTCCACTGGCCACAGGGGCTGCCCCTCCATCCTCTGTCTGCACAGGAGCTGGCTCTAGGGTACCTTTTCTGTTGCTTGTGTTGAAAGGACACAGGTGCAGCTGTGGCACTGGCGTAGGGGCTAGAGCAGGGCACTGAAACCACAAGGGCAGAGTCTCTCCAGATCCCCCCACCACCACACAGCTTCATGCAGATGCCCCAGGAGCTGACTGAGGACCATCACTGTTCAGGGTAGGCAGGGCACTGTACACATTGTGCATGTCTCAAGGATCAATGGCTTCATAAACAATCAGCCAGGTGTCTTTCTTCCCGCCCATTTGCAGTGTTGGACAAAGCTCTCCACACACAGATACCCTTGGTGGGCAGGCAGAGGGGCAACGCCTCCCAGGCCTTGTGGCAAAAGAGTTATCCTAGACCAGGTTTAAGGTGTTTATCTGGCAGTTTTAAGCAAATCAATCTTTTGGCGAATTGGTCTGCTCTGAACACTTAGGCATCTCTTAACAGAGCACCAGGTGTCCAGTGCAGAAAATACCAGCCCCTCACACCTGTTCCCCAGGAGAAAGGTGACTCATTAGAGAAAATGAACCAGTCTTGGAAATTTGATAAGAATTTTTCAGAAAGTACCACAGCAGCAAGTGATATTACCATTTTTAGATATTAAGGCTATAATTTTTTCTGGATGCTTCAAGGAACTTATGCTTGTTTTATGTTTGTTATATTCCTGTTTTCTATTGTGACTACAGTCCATGTGGCTTATGTGTACTGAGCATAGTGGGAGCTTTTCAGATGTCACCTCCCTTCGCCTATTGCTGTCCCCTAAGCCCGTCATCCTGTGCCCTGTTGTAGGACTTCCAGCTGGATGCTGCCACGACCTACTGCAGAGCTGCCCGGCAGTTGGTGGAGAAGGGGAAATACAGTGAGATCCGGCAACTGCTCAAGTGTGTTAGTGAGTCGGGCATGGCAGCCAAAAGTGACGGGGACACCATCCTCCTCAACTGCCTGGAAGCGTTCAAGAGAATTCCACCCCAGGTGCGTGCCCTTCCACACCTCTTGGCTCTCCCTCTGTTTCAGGTCTTCATATCCCCCTCTTTGTTTTTCTGTTCCCCGTACTATGCCTGAACCTCTACAAGATCCCTTTATCTTTCTGACCCCTCTGCAATAATGGCCTCACTCTAATCGACCTTCCCTATAAAGAAAATTTATAGCGATGACCTCTATCCCCAGAAGGTGTCCCTTGACCTCCCATTATCTAATATTGTTTGCACCTGGAAGGAAGTGTCTATGGACCAATGGAGTTAAGCTTCTCCCTGTGATTCTGGAGAAGGCCAGGGTGAGCCAGCAGGTGGCCTTTGAAGAATGTTGCCTGCATAATTGTCCCCCTGTGGCTTCCTTGTAGGTGTACAGAGCCACGCCCATTTGTGAAGGCCAAGGACAGGCAGGCCTCTTGGGAGCTATTCCTTCTCCCCAAATTCTCAAGCTTAGTGTTATGGTTAGATTTCCTTTCTTGCTCTTACAGCGGGAGTTGAATTTGTAAAGAAGAGTCAGCTGGGCATGGTGGTGCACGCCTGTAGTCCTAGCTACTCAGGAGGCTGAGGCAGGAGGATCACTTGAGCCCAAGAGTTCTGGGCAATACTGCACTGTGCCAATTGAGTGTCCACACTAAGTTCGGCATTGATATGGTGACCTCCTGGGAGCAGGGCAGCACCAGACTGCCTAAGGAGGGGTGAACCAGCCCAGGTCAGAAATGGAGCAATCAAAATTCCCATGCTTGATCAGCA